TTGTAACTTTAAGCAAATAGGATAGGCCCTTTGCTTGATGGCTCTCTTGGTGTGGCCTATAGCAAATGCCATGCCTGATAACTCTGTTTAGAGGCAGTAACAGAAGCCAAAAGTTGCTCAAGCAGAGTTCTATTTAATTATCCATCTGGGGTCAATTTTCTTTATTACAGCTGTAAAGTGGGCTCAGCTCAACTTGCCAATTTCCATTCCAATCTGCTTTTTAAATGTTTTAGTTTCACAGCTCAGGCATTTTACTGCAACTCTTTTAAATCATGTGGATTGCACTAAGTGGGATATTTCATCAAAAAATGTAGATTACTTCTAAGCCTGTAATACAATTTAAATTTAAAGTTTTGGAAATTGAGAAATATAAGATTAAAGAATAAATAAACATATTGTTTAAGGCTTAAGGGTCATTTACACATTAGAGAACATTTTTCAATTCCCTTCTTTGTGCAAGGCAACAGGTAACAGTTGTAGACACAATGGTAACAAGACAAATTGCATATTACTCTTAACGAGTTTTAAAGGTACATTAACTTTTATACAAGTAAATATGCAAATGTATGTAAAACTACATAATGGGAGATGATCTTGATGTATAAATATGCCCCTTAGAATTACAATTTATACTTATAACATCTGCATAGCTGTATTGTACATTAATATTGTTTCTTCTTTGAGAAACTGTCATATTCCAAATTTTTCTAAAAAGCATTCCTCTTAATGGATGGATAAGAGATTGCTGTATGTCCTTACTTTTAAAATTTTTTCACTATTGTTTTTCTATTGTACTCATCTGGGCATGTGATGATTAGAAGAATAAAAAGATTTGGGCTACTATGGATTGTCATCAATTAATGGCCTAAGAAACAGAAGAATCATTACAGGCTGTTCTAAAGACCCATGAAATAGTCAATTTTAGCGATGTTACTCAGTCACAAGATATGTCCCTCAGTGGCAAAGATGTCATTCAAAACATGGGCAGGCCCTGAGTTTTATCCTCTAGCATGAAAAAAGAAAGTGAAGACAAAGGTCTTAGACAACAATTCAGCACATGCTAATTTAGCTATGTAAATTAGTTGAAAGCCAAGCTAACAGCATAGACTGTTGAGGTGCTTTATGTGATGATTTGGGTGCTTATATCAATGATTTAGTTACTTAGTCCACCTAATGTGTAGGAATTTATGAGCTGTGCCACCCTGCTTTAAACGTGATGCAAGTGAAGCTGGAGATTTGACTCAGTGGCTAAGGACATTGGTTGCTCTCCTGAAGCAAACATATGACAGTTGGCAATTCTCTGTCATCCCTATCCCAGTAACTCCAGGCACTGTATACACACAATCCCTAGACATACACATATAATTGGAAAAATAAAAATTTTAAAGATGATGAAAATCACAGAGGTCAATGACAAACTTTGTGAAAATATTCAGTAGCATGCTCAGAGGCCAAACACATGCATTCTTGACCTGGACTGTAATTCTGTTTAATACGTTTTCATGTTGTGATATTCCATATCATCTGCTTTCAACTTCTGAGAAGAAAGCTTCTGAGACAAAGGCCCTGTGACTTGTGTATCTGGCTTTGGGGATAATGAAAGATTACATGATGCATGTTCACAACAGAAATTACAAAGAGGTAGTAGATATTTTTCCAACCCCTCTGTTTTTCCTGTAATACCCAGAATGCCATGTCCCAGAAAGCACCACTCACATAGACTGGTGGGATATCAGCCAGTCCTGGCACTGACAGGAACTGAGAGTAAGACAGAACTGTTGCTGAGACCAGCATGCTTCCTTGATAGTCCAGAAGCCTATTAAAAGCCGATACCATAACACATAAGAGGAAGTGGGATGTTACAATAACACAACATCCTAGAAAATGTGCCATGGACTTTAGAAAAGACTGAGAAAATAGTTGCTGGGCATGAAACAAATCACTTCTCATGCATTTTACTTTGTTCTCTTTCTTTTGTTTTAATTAGAAGATCTGGAGAACAGAACATGACTTTACTATTGGTTATAAAAATGTCACAGAAGTTATAAATAAAATATGCAAATATAAAATATATTAACATATGTGTAAGCATAATGAAATAATTATTATTAAAAGAAAAACTTTTGTTCTGAAAATAGAAGAAAACAGAATTGTGCAGCATACAGGTCTCAAAATTGTAAAATCTGTTTGGTTCCAATCAGTGAAATATGGTCTTGAAAAGGTGGTTTGAATACCAAGGATTGAATACAACACAAATAAAGACTCATCCTCAAGGACAAAATAAGACATCTCAAAAATGCAAGATAACTAATGCTAAGGATGTTTGAACATGCTGACTAAAAATCTAGTATTTTACAAGCTTCAATAAATATATGGAAGCTTATAAAATAGAATAGTATGTATCTGCATATATGTGTATATTCATATAAGAGTTTACTTGGGGTTAGTCAGGAAATAGCTCTCCTCCCAGAAGCTGCAAGTTGCCACATAAAAGCCTCTTGCCAAATGTGGAATTATTGGCCAAGAAAGTTCCATCAACTACACAAAACAATGCAGGTTATTGAAATTGTTCATTCCCTACATAATTTGATGGCAAGACATTGTTGTTGACAACACTACACACTTTGATATGGAGAAATAAAGGTGGTACTGACAGGGAAGCTTCCTTGCTATGTAGGTACTGGGGGAGAAAATTCATCAGCAGTCTTATTCAGCTATGACCTTTGAGCTACAATAAAGATAGGTATCTTAGACACATTCATGGGTGCAATAATGGTATAAAGGTCATGTAGATAACCAACTACTCTCTAGTTAAAATTTTTTAGCAAAACAATAGTAATTATTTATCCATGGAGCTAATGAGCCCCCCAGCCCTGGATTTTTTGGCCAGGTATTTTTATAAGAGGAAACTCGTATGGAATATGGCCTTGAATAAAATATCCCTGCCTCTACACCACAGATGGTATAGGTCTTACCTAGTCAGAGAAGTTTCTTTATTGCTATGGGTGGCAGTTAATTCAGAAAGTTGCCTAATAAGTGCCTGTGAAGTACTCAGTCACAAACAGTATTTATCTATCACACCCTCTACTCTCACAATTAAGAGATGTGTGGAAGAGGAACTGGGATGGAGAGATTTGAAAGAGCCAAAGATTGTGAAGAACTGGGGCCACACAGAATCTTCTGGAAATGACAGGACCACTCTATTACCTCTATAAGACATGCACTAGATCAAGCCAATCAACACTCTATTATGTGGGTAGGAGGGGCTCAGGATTTCCTACTCCTATATGAGAGGTAGAAAGTTGATGGTGATGAGTAGGAGTGGAGGTTGGGAGAAATAAGTTATCTTTAAGTGTGTAGCTCCTTAGGTAGTTAACCATACCTCAGTGGATGTCCTCAAGTCCATGAATTAGTGAGAATCACAAATTTCACTCATTTGATTATAAAACAATAAAAATAAAAAGAGGACATGACTTTGCAAGAGGAGGAGTGCTGATCTAGGAGGACTAGGGAGATGAGTAGTGAGTAAATACAATCAAAATACATAATGTTACTTAAAAACAAAACAAAGGGAATTGCTCCTAATGAATTAGGATGAACTCAGGGAGTTCTTTATTGATAAAATATAATAGAGAAAAGAGATCAGCAACATGCTAGTCTACAAGCTTAATAAATTCAGTGTGCTGGCCATAGTTATAGTGAAGGAACGAATACGTCTTTATTACTTTTTTTTTCTTTTCAAGACAGGATTTCTCTGTGCAGCCTTGGTTGTTCTGGAACTCACTCTGTAGACCAGGTTGGCCTCAAACTCAACCTCAAAGACATTCTCTGTCTCCTGGGTGCTAGGATTAAAGGTTAGAATATGTCTTTATCATATGGTATAACTTACTAAACATAAGAAGCTGAGTGATATCCATTCTGCATATTTACAATTCTCCACACATTTGCTGATTTCTTTCAAGTCATAAAGATTTAACTCAAATGTTACTAGCCCAGGCTTAGAGGTTTCCCCCTCCCCCATACATTTCACTAAGCTCGGGTACCTTGTGCTTGTATGAAAAAGGCTGTTTCCACTATGCATTTGATCATATCCTTTCTAAAGACTGAATTTACTGATCACATAAACTGGTTGTTTAGTTTAAGGCTAGCAGGCAGGCGATAATTACGCATGGCAAATGAATCACCAAGATAATGAATGAAATCCCATGGATGGTATCATTTTCTAGTAAATCACAATAACCCCTAAATCGGAATTAAAACTCCTTCAAAAAATTCTTAATTATACTAGGTATGGGAGGGGGGAAGTAGGATGGGTGATGGGGGAGCAGAGGAAAACAACCCTGAGTTATCTCATTCTCTAAATCTACTATAAATGAGGTCATTGAAGTTAAAGATGTAACCCATATGTCAAATGTGCTACAAAATTTTCACTTACAGTACAACCATTTATATTTATACTCTCCAGGAACTGGAATTAATTTTTGTTATTTATAATGAAAAATAAAATTAAACTGCTGGAGAGATGGTTCAGCAGTTAAAAACACTTGTTGCTCCTCTAGAAGACCCAAGTTTGGTTCCCCGCATCCACATGGAGGCTCTTAATCATCTGTAACTTATTCCAGGGCATTCGGTGCCCTGTACTGTTCTCTGAGAGCACTGTGTACATGCAGTGTGCTGACATACATGCAAGCAAAACACTGTGTAAAAAATAACAATAAGTAAATCTTTAACAATAAATTTAAAATGGTTCTCCCAGATTAAAACAGAATAACTTGGTTAATTATTGAGATTTTTATCAGATGTGTAGACTTCTTAAGCCAGAATTTAAGACATTTGCTAAATACCAGTGAAATAGTCAAGGGGTATTTTCAGATCTAGAGCTCAGTACTTTAGAACAAACAATCCTGTATTGAATATGTTACATTAGTTCAATGAATTTTTAATTTTGTTTTTTATGTACATCTTAAGAAGACACAAGCAAATTATTTGATATTACATACCTGTCGGCACCAGAGTTTACGGAATATTTGCAGATAAGCCAATACCATAAGACACAGAGGGGCCATGTACGTCACCAGAAAGAAGCAGATGTGGTACATCTTTGGGTAAACATCACCTGAGATGAGAGTCAAACCATAAAATCTGACATTAAAATAAGGGATTTAGAAAAGGGATTACTTCAGCTTTTTCCTTTAAAGTATAAATGCATATTTTTTATGACTTCACTTGTATATTTTATGCATACATGAGAAGATACTTTCCCAATGTTTCACTTAACACACTCAGAGAAATAACAATTAGTTATTTCTAAATTGGGTGTGATTAAGAAATTTATGTATCAAATGGCTCTTTATTTGGCATGCCTGCATTTAGTTCATAAAATATACTGTTATGAATTGTCTTATATGATGATTTACTAAAAGAGACTTGGGAAAAATGTGTTGTTTTATTAAAAAAAAAATAGTGACTAAATCCTTGTTTAAACAAGTACTAAATGTAAATTCGGTTAATTATTCTCATTAGAATGTAAGTGGAAATATTTGAATGGATTAGATGGATTAGGAGGTATGGCCTTGCTGGAGGAAATGTGTCAGTGGGACTGGGCTTTGAAGTTTCGAAAGCCCATGCCAGGACCCAGGCTCTTTCTGTGCCTAAGAATCAGGATATTATAGCTTAGTTATTTGTCCAGCACCATGTCTGCCTGAATGTGGCAATGCTCCCCAATACGATGATAATGAACTAAATCTCTGAAACTTTGGGCAAGCCCCTAGTGAAATGTTTCTTTCATATGAGTTACCTTAGTCATGGTGTCTTTTCAGAGCAATAGAAAGGTGACTAAGATAGCTGTGGAATTATCACCTCTGCATTTAATTAAGAAAGGATATAAAGGATGGAGCCTTGGATATTTGATTAAATTGATCATAAGAGAAATTTGTATTTAGGATGTATCATAATAAGTGCATTAATGACCATACTCTTGCATTTAGTTATTTTAGTGGTTATGTTTTAAACATATCCATAATTTTAATGGCCCCTGCTATCTTAAACTTATAACTTCTTATCTGGAACTGATTGAATTTGAGTCTAATATTTTTTGTAATTTTTATTTTGAAATTATCTTGTTTCTCTCTCTCTTTTAGGTATTGTAGAAGGAACATCATGGTACAGAGGCTGCTTGGAGGTGTTATTTTTAGTCTCTTACTGGGTCAGGAGGCACTCATCTGCCCTATTCACTTCTAACTTCCTTTTAAGTTTATCTTGTAAAACAGCCCATTAAATAAAGAGTGATAGAATTCAAGTACTGTAGGAGTAGCAGATAGCATTTCCATTGGAAGTGCAGCAGCCTGAACAGGAATTGCATGGCTAATTTCAAAATAACTTGAAGGTGACCTCAGCAATTCTCAGAGCAAGCAAATTGGAAGCATGGGGGGAGGGGAAAGGGAGTTAGGAGGAAGAGGAGGGGAAAGTAATTGTGGGCTATTATCAAATAGTTTTATCAATGACTTGAATATCTGTATAAAAGCTAGATAATAAAATGGTAGAAATAGATATAAATTTTGTCTATTTATGTTTATTGATCAAAGATGTTATAAAAATACAACCAACATGGTACTTAATTACATTTATTGATAGATTGTGAGGATTCTATAGTTTGGTAATATTTTTACTAGTGGAGTTAATTAATGATGCTTGATTTATGTGGGGAGTAATCATTTATATTATACTCCATGAACATGTAAGTGAAACTCATTTCCAAAATACCTTAGGAAATCTTACTTGGCATTTACTGAGTACTAAGTATTTTCTCTAATGACCCTTTTTATAATTACAAATGATCTCCGCATTTCACTAGGACTCTTGCAATTGATATGTGCACACTGCTTTATAATCTTGAACAGATAGGAATTAATATAGTCATGAATTAAGAAGAGTTAGGCTGTAGGCTGCAGGATGTTTTCCAGCTATAATTTAGTATAAATAAATCATGTAAGAAACTTCAACTCTCTAAAGTAATTTCTTCAGGCTTTCTATTCCCTGGGGGATATGCCTTCTCTTTCTTCCTTCTTCCTTAAGAATTGGGCCTAGTGAGTGAATTTTCTTACTTTATATAACACATCTTCTCCTTCCTTGGGATATCCCTTCCCTGTTCCTAGTTGGAAGAATTCACACTCACCTTTAATAATTTGCTGAAATATTAGCGTCTCTTTTGTAAACATTTGCTCAAATGTCTAGGACTAAAACTGCCCTCTCATTTGTGTCCCTAGAACTGGGTCCATAAGTCCATCAATCATACTGTGGTTTGTTTATCAGCCTCATTGGGGAATGTGTTCTCTTAGGCACAATGCCTAGCACACTCTAGATGCTCAAGATGTTGTTTGAACATTAAGTAAATGGAACATAGGATACTTCAGAAAATATTTAGGAACTTTCCATTCGGTTTATTTTTGACTGTATTATTAAAGGGGACATTTATTAAAAATGATGATAGATAAACAAATACAAAAGCATAACAGTATTAGAGAAGAAAAGTAAAACTCATTGAAAGATATTTAACATCTTGAATGACAGGACATTCAAATTGTAAAATTTTACTTGCTCTGTTTTGCTTTGCTTTGGTTATTCTGATCTTTTCTAAGACTGAGTATCACTGTGCAGCTCAGTTTGGTTTAGGATTCAGGGTCCACCAATCTGAGCTTTCAGGGTCACTTGGCTTGATTTCATCTTTCTAACAAGTATGACTGCATGTCTACTTAACAATTGTTCTTTCCTGGTGTGTAAATTCTCCAAGTATGAGCAATTGCAGTGCAATTATCTAGAAGAGGCAAGTTTGATCCTTTTAAATTCTGCGTGTAACTAGTATATGCCATAATGAAATGTGTGGTATATTTTTATTTTATTATTCTTTTCTGTCCATATCTGTGTCTCTGCCATGTGTGGATAGCCATGTTCTCTTAGTCAAAAGTTTTGAGGCAAAGAATCAGAAGGCCTCCAGAATTCTGATTGTTTATATATTACTATCATGGGGTGCAGTTGTGTACAGGTGTATACCAACCAAAGGTGATTTCTAACTATACAATTTCTCACTCGGTGATTAAGCATCTTGTGGTAAGGTGATGTTCTCAGAGCATAGTTTTAAACTGAAAATAACAAACAAGCACAGACCTCATTGCATTGGATGCAATTAGGAAACTGGGAATTTCTGACAACATAATATTGAACCAGCTTATAAATACCTTTTTATTTTACACAAGAAAGTAAGAATTTACTGGTGTTTTCTTAAAATTTTAAGCAAACATACTTAATTTCTAAAGCTACATTAAAATTTCTTTCTTCAAAGTCTTAGCATGTAAAATAGCAGATTTCCTTATGGTATTTTAATGCATTCCTAGTTTGGGTTGGCCACATCCTCACTTTCCCCTCCCTCCTCCATTCCCTAGCCCCGTTTTCTGACCTATTCCCTTCCCATTTCCTGTATGAACCATTCCACTTTTAAAGTATATGTGTTCTATTGCTCTTCCTGCTCCTCTCTCTTAAAGTACCTTTTTTTTCTTCTCCTCTCATAGGCTCTTTTCTAGTTTCCTGGTATCTATCTTCCTTCATTGCACAAAATTCATATCTTAAAAAACTAGATACTAAGATACACACATGTGGCATGAATAATAAATACCCAGATATTGGAGTTCACTTTGAAGATCAGAAAAGCAAAGCAGCCAGCCAGTAGCTCTTATCTCTACTAAGGCTAAAATGGATATCCTGTCTTCCCTGTGGTTGGAAACTAAATCTCACATAAGACTCTTTGCTTCTTTCTTATGCACCTCTCCAGCACTGGATTAAAGGCATGAGCTCTGTTTCTCTTTTAGACTGATTCACTCTCATGTAGCCCTAGGTGGTCCTGCACTCACAGAGATCCATCTGCCTCTATCTCCTGAGTCCTGGGATTAAAGATGTGTGCCACCACTGCTCAGCTTCTATGGCTAAGTAGTGTGGCTGGCTTTTCATTCTGATTCACAGTTTTATTAAATCATAAATAATGTATCACCACACACACAAGAGAACACATGTAGCATTTGTCTTTTTAGGCCTTGGTTTACTTCATGTAATATTTTCCAGATCCATTCATTTTCCTGAATATTTTATTTGTCTTCAAGATTGGATAAAATTCAATTGTGATATGTACCACTTTAACAGAAACCTACGCTGATTCTCTTTCTTAAATATCATGAACAGAGTAGCATTAGCCATCAATGCATAGGTATCTCTGAAATAAGAAACAGAGTCCTTTAGGATTTTGCCCAGAAGTGGGACAATTGGATCATATATAATCTCTTTATTTCATTTTTTGAGAAACTTTCATATTGATTTTTATAAACAGTGAATAATTTGATTTCAGTGATTAGTTCATTTACTTAAAAAACATTAAGCAATAACTAAAAATGAGTCATTGACTATCCAAAGTCCTCTATCATTTTCATTGTAAAAATTATGTACATAAAGCACTTCCAAAAGATGGGAGCTATTTACGAAATTGTGTGGTGCTTCAACTTTATTTTCATCCGTTTGCTGAGCTCTTTTAACAAGTACTAATTAAATATATAAGCCCAATTCAGCCACAGTGATGCTAGCCCAATATTTGCAGATACACTGTCAATATGAGCATCCGAGCAAAAACTACTTACCGCCCCAGTGCTCATCGCATACTGTAAAGAGGGTGGTTTTATTGGCTAAGCCAGGGAGCATGCTGCTGCACTCCATGACAATAGCTTGAGGAATCATTATGATGCAGGAGACAATCCAGATGATGATGATACTGTTTCGAGCCCGTTTGGCTGTGCTCTTGAACATCAAAGGGTGACAAATTGCATACCATCGGTCCAAGGCAATGCAGCTCAATGTAAGAACAGACACAGACACTGACACAGTCTGGAGGGGAAAAAGGGAACATGATTCAAGAGAATTGGTAGGTGTCAGAAAGATAACATGAGAACATTTATTTGCTTTCTCAGCCAAGTTGTTAACAGCAGGAAAAAGTGAATTCAGGGCAACCCACTCTACGTATTCATGTAAACGACTTTCATGTTAAGAAAGTGGATGATGAAAACTAGAAAGGCATCAGGAAACTTTGTATTTCCTATCAGATGTGAAATAAGTGCTTTGATATGGTTCTGTTTTCTCACATTAAAAGCTCAACTTATAATACATTAATAGTTACTATCTTTACTCTGTTTTGTAGCTTTTCCACTGATAGTGTAAATAGTATTCTCAGAGGGAAATAAATTATATATGGGTATATTCTCTTTCAATCAAAAAGAATGTCATGGCATGAGTATTTTAAGTTACCATGTAGGTTTTCACTGGTTACATTTCATAGCATAAATAAACCATGGGTATCTTTTTTCAGCATTTGTAATAACAAGGGTTATCTGGTCCAATTTATTTTCAATGCATTGCATACAAATAAAAGTCTAGATAACATTAAAAGAGAATTCTGTACATGAGTACATGTGCTATAGTTTGCTCACTGACAGTAACTTGTTCTTAAAAAACATGTAGGTCCTCTCAGTATGGACTTGTATGTGAATAACTGATGGGAGATGTCATTTTGTATATGTTTCTCATACTGTTTAATAAATAAAGGACTGTTGGCCAATAGGAAAAGAAGATAGGAGGGACTAGGAGAGAATGAGGAAAGAGGAAGTAGTAAGGAGGAGTGAAGATGGAGAGTCTGGAGAGAATAGAATCACCAGCCTCCTCTCGCTGCTAGGACCACGTGGAAATACAAAGAAATAGGTTAATAAAGACAGAGCCAGCCTATAAGAAACAAGTAACTGGCCAATAGAATTATATCAAATACAGAGTCTCTGTGTATTAATTGGGACTGGTGCGGTGGCTGGACAAGACCAGGCGGCGGGCAGAAAAACCGTACTCCTTACAAATAACCACTTAAGTGATTGTTAAGCTTATAAATGTAAGGAAATAAACATTTAAACCCTGGTGATTCCCATATAATCAATGTATGAAGCTATCCTTAATAAGGTTAGAACTAGGGGTTATGGAATTACTGAGTTAACTGAGATGCAAAATGCATTACTCAAGGCTTCCACAAAAGTGCTATGTATTTGTTCTGGCACACTTCTGACAAGAGGTCATATTGAATAAGTTACAGGACAAATACAGATTTTTACAAGTTTGTTAATACACATTGGTTTTCTATTGTGGAGATGGATGAACTAGACATTGTTCATGCAGGAGTCAGAATCTCTATCCTTTGACATTTGGGATTGTGTTAAATGAAAAAAAAAAAAAAACAAAACAAAACAAAACAAAATGCCAGTAGCTTTAAGAGCCACTGGTGCCTACATCCCTTGCTGTTAATGCTACTTCTTAACTTTTGTTTTGGCCTCCCCAGAGACTTGGAGCAGCATGGCACAGAAAGCTATGATTGTATCAGAGCCAAAATACACACTCCTGGCACAGGTGATACTTTCTCACTCCATCACGCCCTCCATCAAAACATCTGGTTCACAAGATAGATACTGTGAAGGTTGTCAAGCAACAGAGGATTTGGGCAGTTGAAACTACTCTGAAATCAAAGAGAGTAGACATTTCCCCTTGGGTGATTAGTGGAGCTGGGAGAAACACAGTTTACTGGAATTCACAAGAAGGATATTCAGATGCTAGCATTTTCTTCTGTTTTTGATTTTTTTTCAAGTTACTGTATGCAAACTCAACCATTCTTGTATGTAAATCCAACCATAAATTCTACCTGTTTATGGTGAGGATGTTTGTTCTTTGTTGTTAATTTTACCATTTCTCCAAAATTTTTATTACAGCTTATTTTGTAATCCACCGATGGCTGTCAGCATGCTAGCCAACAAAGCTTATAATTAAACATAATGTCTGTATGTAGCTTATAATTTCTACGGCATCATCATATATACTGTAAGTGATGTCAGCTGTTTAAAAATATTACTTCTAAGAGATTACTGAGGAGCTGCAGAATGGAAAAGTCTCTAACATTTTGTTTCTAAAGAATAAATAAAGCCATTTCTAGTAATGGATATTTGTGATCTCTTCCAAATTTCTCTTTTGTGAGGCCCATTATTTCTTCTTGGAAACATTGTGATCTCTACCTAGAATGGTGCAGGGACCAAGGACAAAGGTAGATGGGGACTGTGGGATGAAACAGAGGTATCACTGACCTTTTCTTTCACTATCTGCTTCCTAAGGGGAACACATCTGTGTTTTCCTTCACTGTCCACTTCCTAAGGTGAACACATCTCTTAGACTTGTGTTGATGTGGTCACTATCAGAAAACTTTTTATTAAAGACTTTACATTTATAAATACAGCCAGAAAATGATCCTTTAAAAAGTATTTGTTCTTTTTTTTTTTTTTTTAATTTGTCAACAGATACAGAAAGACTGCATTCACGGTTTACCACTGAAACATCCTATGATGATACTGTCACTAACTCTTACTCTTAATGCATTGTTTGAAGTTCATGATGAATTAACCACAGAGCAAGAGACTCTGGTAAATGATATAAGTAATCTGTCAAAACAGCTATACGAGGTAGATCTTATTTAAAATTACCATTTTTAGTAAGTGAATTGACAAGAGTCTATATACTTCACTTGATAGGGTACTATCTAGAGATTCCAAAGCCAGAAATGATGCCCCAACTTGCCCTTCTTTGACTACATACCTCTTAATTCCTCAGGATGAAAAAGCATCATTGGAAAAAAAATCTCTGATATTATTGATTATTGAAAAAAAATGCTCATGGTTACTTGAGCCAGGAGAGGTTTAAACATTACTTTGTTCAAATGACATATTTAGTGGTGAAGACTGTGAAATAATTAACAGCATTGTTGCCTCATTTTTATTTAGATGTGAACCCATTTATTTAGCAAATTTATTAAGCTCTTTACTTTCTGAATATTTACATTTATTTCTTAGTTCATTAACTATTTTACAAGACGGTCATGATGATAATTGAAAACATTTAAAGATTGAAAAAAATTCAAGATAATTTCTAAAAATGCCCAGAAAAGAATTACCTGCAAATAAGGAATGACCTTACAGAGGGACTGTCCAAAGAACCAGGTCTCAGTGATGTCAACAACGAGGGTGGCTGGAAGGCAGGTGATGGTCACAAGCACATCTGCCAGGGAAAGGTTGACTATGAAGTAGTTGGTGACTGTCCTCATGTGGTGGTTCTTCCACACTGCCACACAGACTGATATAGAAAGAGAAAGAGATGGGGAATGAATATAAAGACTAGGCAGGGATGAGGAAAATCAAGAGAATTAACACTGTTGAAAAGTCCATACATGTGTGCCGAAAGAGAGAGAATTTGAGGCTGTACTGTTAAATCCAGGAAAGAGCATAGTACTTGAAAATGCAGTTAGTTTTGCTGTGCTTCTAGACCTGGGTAAATGTCCTTCCTTGCTTCCTCCTGACTTCTCGTGGTCTGATGGCAATCATGGATGAGTATGGAAATCTTTACTGGTGTAACTCCAATCTCTGCCTTGGTGATCACATGACAGTCTTCTTGTCTATATCTTTGTATAGTTATCTTCTTACAAGAATCACATTCATATGGGGTTACAGGTTCATGCCACTGCAGTATAACACTTTATCTTCACAAATTACATCTTCAATGACACCAGTTAGTCCATTAATCTCTGACAATTTGGCTTCTAAGGTTAAGATGAGCTCATTGACATGACACTTTTTATTTCCTATTCACAAGGGCTGTGCTCTTTTTGAGATGCATGTCAAGCCGAAGGGCAGTCCCTCATTGATCTTCCTATTGTTTCAATACTTAGTATGTAGAAAAACATCAAGAAATAGTTGCTGAGCTGGGTATAGTAGTACATGTCTTTAGTCTTAGCCTCAGCCCCTGGATGAGGCAGAGGAAGGCAGAGCACTGTGAGTTCGAGATTAGCCTGGTTTCCATAGTGAGTTCCATCCAGGTCAGCCAGGCATTGAATGAAACCCTACAAAATGAAATCCTACAAAAATTTAAAGAAAGAAAGAGAGAGAGAGAGAGAGAAAGGAAGGAAGGAAGGAGAATGAATGAAAGGAAAAAGAAAGGAAGGAAAAAAGATGAAATATCTGCTAAGTCTGAATTAAATGAGGAGAATTAGAGTTGTGATTGTCCATCCATGACCTTGATCCATTTTTTCCCCACAAATCTTCTTGGTGGACACCCAACAGAGGAAAAAATTTAACCATGGGAGAGAAAAACAAACAAATAAAAAACCTCCTACCATTAAGCCATCATCCAACCCCTACTTTTGCCAAACATTTGACATATTTATATTATTTTATGTGGACAAATCTTACAGAAAGACATCAGCAGCCATAGTTCATATGTGCGATAATTGAGACAAGGGTATTTATTGGATCTTTTTAAGAGCTCATAAAATATAAAAACAGTTAATGATGGTTATTAATTTCAAGTGATGTACTTACTCCACCTAAGCATATTTTTTTTGAAAATGAAGAGTTTATAACAGAATGTATTAAAATTCTACAATCTCTCTCCTTTTCATTACTCTTGTTGGCCTCTGAACATCACCCTCAAATCAAGCATGGTTGGCCTTTTCACTGCATTGTGGGAAATTCCCTGTTTAAAGCTGTGCTAGCCCATTCAGCTGATTTTTACTGAAAGAATACCAATTTCCTACATTTTATGCTCTCCACCTGTCTGGCACATACACATTTGAAAAACACTGGCTGTAGGACATATGCACACACACAGTTCTAGCCTCATTTCCTAGTGGATTCAGGAAATGAAACTATGATTGTTTCTAGTGTGTCATTAGCCTGTCAGAACTGGTATGCACATGATGCTGTGATGGGTAACATTAAGAAGTAGGATAGAAGGGAAAATACCTTTTGTCAAACTTAAATACCCAAGGAATGATTATTTTTGACAATCACCCATCATTAGGAATTTCATAGCTTGGAAAAAATACTTTCACTATTTCCTAAGGCTGAAATTGGCTACCAGCTCTAAATTGATAAATTGATAAAATATTTATATTTTGGAAGATTTAATTTTGAGAACTTAGAATGGTGCTTTAGTTTCAGCTGTGTAGTAGCAAAAGCATCAGGTGGCTTTAATTAGGATACACTAAAATGTTTTCACTTGTGATACTGCCAAATAAGTTATTTCACACAAATACTTGAAACACACAGATCATAGCAATGAAAGAACATAGTATTATACTCTGTAATAGAAAATGGGAAATCATTTAATATTTGTGGTACTTTTTAATGTATGCTAAAACTGTACACAACTTAAATCCAGAAAGAACATAGTACTTGAAAATGCAATTAGTTCTGCTGTGCTTCTAGACCTGGGTAAATGTCCTTCCTTGCTTCCTCCTGACTTCTCGTGGTCTGATGGCAATCATGGATGAATATGGAAATCTTTACTGGTGTAACTCCAATCTCTGCCTTGGTGATCACATGACAGTCTTCTTGTCTATATCTTTGTATAGTTATCTTCTTACAAGAATCACATTCATATGGGGTTACACTGCAGTATAACACTTTATCTTCACAAATTACATCTTCAATGACACCATTTCTAAAGGCAGCCACCTTTGAGAGCTGGGAAGACATCTCAGTATTCAAAAGCACTAGCTGCTCTTCAAGATAACTTAGGTAGGTTCCCAGCTCTCACATATCAGTGGCTAACAATTGTCTATAACTCCAGTTCCAGAGAATCTGTGCCCCCTGCTTCCTCAGGCACCAGACATGTAAGTGACACACAGAAATACACCCAGGAATAACACCTATACATATGAAATAAAAATTTTAAAAATACATGTTTATGAAGAAAGTCACTGTCTGAGATAATAGAGACTAGGATTTCACTCCATCTTCTAGAGGTAAGGGGTAAAATTAAACAGTGGCTATAATGAATAAGTGTTTAAAGACTGTCATTATGTCCATTCTCCCAGTCTTTTCTTCTCCACATAAATTCTTAAGACTCTCATATATAACTATGACTTTGTGTCATTTGTCACTCTGGTGCTTGTATTCTGAAGAACCTCTAGATTATCAATAATGACTCTCAATGAGCCATATGCAAATGCAGTGCTCCTAGGTGTAGTATGACAGAGCAAAGAACAGAGACAGAGAGACAAACAGACAGACAGAGAGTTAGAGACACAGAGATAGATGCAGAGAGACAGAGAACATGAAGTTGAATGGGTAGGGAGATGGTTGGGGAAGGAGAAAGGATGGTCAAAATGTGTGAAAATAAATTTTAATAAAAAAATAGGACCCCAGACCATAGAATATTGACAACCACACTGAAGAGGGTATTCTCATTTCAGTTAAGATAATTGAGAAAATCCCTTACAGACACTCTCAGATGCTTGTCTCTGGTGATTCTAAATGCTGCAAAATGGAAAATCAGCTTTAGCCATCACACATTATTATCCAGTAGAGGTAACAAAAGGAAAAAAAATCGATAAAGAACATTATTTGGAGAGTAATGGAGCAGTTAAAGTAGAGATTTATGTGAGATTGTGTGACTCTGTCACTTAAACACAAGTATAGAGTTTGCATTATGTCTGTTCAAATATTTATAGATTATGACTCTGCTTACCCACAGGACTTGCTTCTCCATGAGCTTTCACCATTCTTCTTATACACAGCAGGGGGTTCCACTCTCTTTGCCCTGGCCTTTCTTGTGAAAACTCTTTCTAATTGGCCTGCAAACTACACACAACCCTGCAGCTATACTTCCTAAATCTGTGCACTAATGTATTTGCTTACTCACCCATTCAAGACCAAAGCTACAGCAGTCATCATTTTCTTCTTCCATGGCATGCCAAATTCAAAAGCTAGGTTCACACCTTTTGCCTAGATTTTCTATTTCTCTGAAATGTAATATACTTCCTTTCTTCCACAGTGATAAATTCCCCAAATATTTCCCATCTGTCACATTTTTTTTCTACTTCTATTGTAAACATCCAGTGTCACTGTAACCATTAGCACCAGCAATGTCATGCCCTCCAGACAGCTCTGGTATGACATCTGCTTTGACCTTTATGGAGAGTGTTCTTTGGTCTCATACTCTAGTTACATCAACTCTTTGATTTTCACAGGAGCCATCTCTATAGGAAATCTTTAGTCAGGCCTTTTTTTGTTAAATTAATATTAAATTATGTAATTTCTTACTCATACTTCCCTCCAACTCCTGCCACATCCCCCTTGCTCCTTCTCAAATTCATTGCTTCTTTTTCTTTAATTATTAGCATTACATGTATGTATACATATGTAAATACAACACACTGAGTGTGTTTAATGTTTCTTGAATATATATGATGGGGGGAGCAACCACATTATATTAGATAATCAACTGGGGGTTCAACCTAGAAGAGTAATTCTTTCTTAGTATTTTTTTTTTTTTTGGCCTGCCTGTAGTTCTTCATCTAAGGGTGAGATCCTATATTTTCCCCTTCCATGTTAACATATCTGTTGGTATTGTCATTCTTCATATCTTGTTTAGGCAGCCATATTAATAAGGTATTATGGGTATAGCTTCCTTGTCATTTTTTAGAAGATATGATAGCGTGGCAGACCTCCCAATCCTCTGGCTCTTGCAATCTTTACACAGTTCTTGAAATGTTCCTTCAGCCTCAGGAATGGGGTTCTGCCATTGAGGTGTCAATTTGTCTTATGAACTACATGACCACTTGTTCTCTGTATTTTGACCACTTTGTAGCTTTCTTTAAGGATTTTTTTGCTACAAAAAGGTAATTCTTTGGTAAGGGGGTGAGAGCTAGACCTATCTGTGAGTTAAGAGAGTGTTTAGAATTCACTTAGAAATTATACTAGTTTATGAAGGTGACAATGGTAGGTTCTTCTCTGATATTCATGATCTTGGTAGTCCCAGGTAGTTGACTAGGTTTTCAGTACCAGGTGTGATTTCTGTCTTGCTTAAGTAGACTTGAAATACAATTAGACACAAATACCACTCTTGTGCCTTTAGGGATATCTTGTCATAGAGGTCATTGTTGTAGTTTATATTTATAGGCATCACAGCTATGCAAGGACAACTGGTTTCTTTCCTTCTTTGGCAGCTTGTGTAGTGAAAGCCAGTCCTTAGGGAGGAGATTGTGTATTATCCAACTTACTCTTTTGAGTTCAGTGTTTGAAATGCACAGTGTCTTTAGAAATAGGAAATTACCCTCAACTTCTAGGAGATAA